TGGAGGACACCAGAGATTCTGCTGGAGGACACCAGAGATTCTGCTGGAGGACAATAGAGGGGACAATAGAGACACCAGGCAGCTACCGAGAGGCCAGAAGGACAGCATCTTCTGTGGTCACTGAGGACAGAACTCTGAAATACAGAACAATGGACCAGTTCTTCTCTATTTTAGGGACACTGATCGGTCATGGCCCTTTCCCATCTATTCTCTCTGCTTTTCTTCTGAGCTCTGACAGACACATCACTGTCTGAAGACTCGCCCACTTTGTTATAATCACATGCAGCTTTTTGTATTCAGTATAAAAGTGTTATTTTCAACTATTCTAAAATGTAAATGGTGTTTTTGAATATTTCTGAACTAGACAGTCATGATTTTTATAGATTTAGTTTGAATTGTGGATTCAATGAGCCCCGTTGTTTTTATGCTTTACAGTATGATGTTATTCCTCATTCTTGCATTTTCCAAAGCGAGTGTATAAAATGACCTGGTGTGACCTGCAGGATAATCACATCTCATGAAACTCTACAACCATAAACTAGAGGCCGAGGACATTCAGAGGATGTATGGCTTTAGTAGCTTTATTGACAAGAAGGCACGTTTGAGCAAGAGAGCATCCAATCGCCGAAAAATGCCATTCTTGCTGAAATTTTCAAATTTCAAAGGTTTTTGATAACAAATCACAGCATGACTTCTTCTGTGGTGTTCCTCGGTGTCTTGCTGTCTAAATGTATTTTGGAGGGTTTGTTGATCATTTTATTAATCTTCAGGTGGTCAAAAATGACACCAAATCTGTGTAACAAAATGTGCTGCAACAACTCATGTGACATAACAGCATGAAGATGAGGATCATCTACTTCCATAATAATGTTGTAATCTAACGAAACCACAATGTTTATTACAGACTTGACTAAAAACATGTGACACGCTGCTGAGCTGCATCTCAAATGAACCTTCATGTTCCCAGTTTTCAGATGATGTTCAACTCTTTTATGGTTTAAACGTTTGTTTGTTCTGGTTCTCTGAAGATGAAGATGAAGCAGAGAGATCTGATTGGATTCACTAGTCAGCTGATTGATTTGTTTTATCTGCATATAGTTTTATTTTGCCATTTTTAACCACTAACGAGTGTAACGTTACCGTTCTGATTCTATAGAGAGATCTTGATAAATGTGGAGCCAAGAAACTTTCATGAAGTTTATTTCTTTTGTCTTCACTCTGATTTATTTGCTGGAGTGTTTGAGCAGAGAACAGCGTTATTTAGCTGGAATATTTCATTTCTCTTTTGTAGTTTGTTTTCTAATTAGTGAATCAATAAATCTCCAGACGCTAGTGTTTGTGAGTCCAGGTGAGTCCAGAATCCGGACACAAGGAGACAGAGTGAAGACATCACATCAGCTTTCTGCTCAGCTTCTCGTTTATTGGCACCGTACAGCAGATAATGATTCACATCAGCGTTTCAAACCTCCACCAAACTACTAACTGTCCTGGACTGAAACATGGTTTTATACTTCATGCTCCACATGTTCCTCTTTTAAAATGGTTTCAGCAGTTACTGCTGTGATTTACACTTCATCAGATTCTATCAATGTGTTTCCATTTAAAGATTATGAGCCCTTCTGAGATGGTAACAAACTTTAAAACCATCAGCTGGTTTTAGTGTGCTGTTGATCAGTTTCAGGAACATAAGACCTGTAGTGGGTCTGGTGGATCTCATGGGATAGATGGTGTACACTCCACTGGGGCGGCTGTCGTCCTGCCGATGGATGTCGCTGCAGTCCGGTGGTTGGATGAGATCGTAGCAGCTGATCAACAGCGGAGCCAGGAGGAGGACGACTGAAACCTGCTGGAACAAGTTTGAATTTAACTTTCTCTTTTAATAGTTTGTCTTCTGACACGTTCTCCCTCCCACCTCGTCAAATACTGACGTTTGGTCGGCGGCCCGACGCTTCAAACTGGTGTCAGTGTGGGACGAGTCAGGGAGGCGTCTCAAGTTTCTACTTTAGGTTTACTTACTTTTTGGGTTTACAGAACTACTTGGTTAGTGTTCGGAAAAGATCTTTGTTTGGGTTAAAATGAGATTATTTGTTACATAACTGTCGTTATAAAGTCAGGAAGCTGTGAACAAAAATACAATGAAATAAGTCAACATTGACTTGGTTTCACACGGGACATGAACAGCGGTCTGCTGGTGAAAGTCCTGTTTGTTTGACTGCCTCTCTCTTTAAACTGCGACAGTTTCTCTGAGCGTCTCATGAAGACTCTGATGTGTTTGCGTTTTGTTGTCTAGACCTAACGTTCATTCTTTTTAAAATAATGTCTTCCCATAAAAGAAGTCGTGCCAAATGACACGAAAAAAAGGAGCATTTGTCACTCGGCATGAAACAAACAGATTAAATTTCGTGACTATCTGACGAGCTGAGACTGTGTAACTGAATACGTTCAGTCATCAGACGGCTAGGGTTGAGTTCATGTCGCTGTATGTTAGCTGAGGTTGGGGGTGGGACTTCCTTTTGTTTTCATTACTTCACATAACAGCATGTTTGTATCAAAGGTTCAGGTTCCTTCGTGATTATAGTGTCATGTGGTCGGGGACAAACAGACAAAGATCAACCCTGCTGATCAAACCAGAACCCTGAACCAGAACCCTGTCCTCCTGGAACCAGACGCATCAAAGTGTAGGTTCACGTCTGGAGCTTTCTGTTTCCTGCAGCTCATCATTGAGCCTCGTTTCCACTCACGTCTGCTGTCGGTGCCCGAGTTTCACCAGACAATGAGAAATATAAAGTGCAGTTTTATCGGAGAGGTTCTCGGGTGGAGCAGCTCTCACCCAGCTGACGTTTCACGTTTCTGCGAAGCATCTTTGCTGTAAAGTCATCACTATCATCAAACAGGAGGATGATAATCAATGATCCATTCATGCTTCAGAATCACTGTGTTGTGGTGCTACAGCTCACCTGTGAGGGTGAAAATATTTATATAAAATGTAGTGAAATAATCGGGACGCCGTGGAGCCGCTGCTTCTTCAGATTTCTGTTAGTCTCTTTATTTCTGTCAGATTACGGATCATGAAACATCACAATTCATCAAAGCAGTTTCCTTTCATATGAAACTCCTCCAGAATACCCACAATTCTCTCTGTTCATCACAGATTAACGTTGATTCACTTTCACATTAGAGAATGCACAATAACTCTATACAAAATAGCGTCTGGATATTTATTCCTGGTATAAAAATAAGTTCTAAGTGCTTCACACACTTTAATACTGTCTCTGCTTCGGCGTGTCCATGGCTGAAGGATCTGTTTGTGTCCCGAGTGAAACCAGAAGTCAACGTTGATTTAATTATCACGTAACTTCTGGAGTTATTTCAACCTGAACTCTGCAGAGGTTTCCACAGACGCTCTGATCGTGTTGCTGGACGTTTGTGGAACAATGCATGAAAAATAAACGTTTCCTAAGATGTCATAAGAGTCGTTGACAACTATGAAGATAATCTGGAGGTTCTATGTTCTGAGTTTTAGGGTCACAGCTGATCTTTTGTTCAGTGGAACAGACGACACACGATGTGAAAATACTGAAACATGCAGAAATATCAACAAGTGAAACTCCCCGAAGAACCGAGGCGACCTGAAGCTGATGTTCCTGCTCTGAGTTTTACATTCAGGAGTTTCTTTAAATGCTGATTAGAATTCATTAGTTTCAGTCATAAGTCGTAAAGAAGCTTCTGTCTCTCAGTGCACGTTGAGCACCTCACAGGACGGCAGAAAACCCGATGAGGGACAAGATGAGGGACAAGAAGCTCATGACACCACAATCTAAAAACTACATTGTCACAGTTTGTAACTACAAAGTCCAGGGTGCCTCAGTGACTAAAACAGAGTTTCAATTTTTAAATCCGACAAATTTCAGTTGTAATGTACAGACAGGAAAAAAACGCTGAAATGGTCAAAAGGTAGTTTCCAGTTGAAAGACATTGAAAAGAACTACAAATCCCAGTTATCTTAGAGAAAATAGCTACGGTTACAACAAAGCATAGAAGAACTAAATCTATTTCGCTGATTGAGTTTTTGAATACTCAATATAAACATAAAAACATACAAACAAGAGTCTTAACCGACAGCCAATCACAATCCAGCTACTTAATCAATCCCAGAATAATCCCAGATATGTACGGACGCATAATTCATATATGATAGATAATATGAAGAAAGAAAGAAGATTTAACGGGTGAGAAATCATGTTTCTGGGCGACCGGCGAGTCCAAAACAGAGTCCACGGTGGACTTCTCTTAATAAAGGTGCATTCCCACTATTCTGCTTTAGTTTCTGAGTCCTGATGGAGCTGATCACGTCAGGTCTGTTTCTGAAACTCTTGTTTGGAGAATAAAGCAGTTTGGTGTGAACGCGTCTCGAGCTGTGAGATGTTTTCTCTCCTTTTTAGAAAACGCCGTATCCGTCGGTGTGACGCGTCGCCACAGCGAAGGCCGGGTATCCCTCGTAGGTGGTGTAGGCCGTCAGGTCCCGACCCAGGGACACGGCCTGCTTCAGCTGGGACGCCACCGCCGACGCTGCCGGGCTCGCCAGAGCGTAACCTGGAGAGAGACGAGACCAGAATCAATACGCCGTTATGTTTGGAGTCACGTAGTCAGAGCTCCGAGTCTCTTCACCAACAGATGTTCTGTAGGTCAGTCGATGTTCTAACTAAACTCTGTTCAAAGAGACAAATCCTCAGCGCATCAGCTCAATACAATGAGAGGAAACAGCTTCCTGTTTCAGTGTCAAGATTTTCACAATAAAAGCATCCTAAAACAAGCTGCAGTTAACTTTGTCAAAGCTCTTCTTCTGACTTCACAGTAGAAACAGAATGTTAGAGTTACTGTTGGAACATCAGCTGAACTAATCACAGTTTAAACCTTTTCAATCAATATTTACTGATCAATAATCAAACTCATTCTACAGGATGCTGTCATGTGACACAAACTATTTCACAAGTAAATACAACATCTGGAGTCTGAGATGTGAGAAGTATCAGTATAACAGCTGTATAAAAACCGTAGTGTAAATGTTCACAGGTCATTACTAAGTAAGTCTGTGTGTGTGTTTGTTTTTCATGTATGTTCAGTATGAAGCTGCAGTAAATACTTCTCTTATTGGCCACTAGAGGGAAGTAGAACTCCACATTTAGTTGATTGACACTCAAATCTGACGTATCGTCACCTTTTATACCACGAAAAACACTTGATCATGATGAAAGAAGAAAAAACGAAGAATTTGAATTTAGTCAGCAGTAGTAGTAGTAGTACTTTTAGTAGCCGTAGATACTGCCGCAGTAGTTAAAGGAGAAGCAGTGGAAAAGCCATAGAATTAGCTGTAGTAGTAACAGTGCAAGGAGTTGTATTCGGAGCCAAAGTAGACAAATGGGCAGTCGGAGTACTGTGTACTGTAGCAGTGGTACTAGTAATAGTTATGTAATATAATAGTATTAGTAGCATACTCAGAGGACAACGTAGGGTTATTAGTAGCAGGTATATAGCTGGGGCTGGTTCAGGTTTATAGCTGGGGCTGGTTCAGGTTTATAGCTGGGGCTGGTTCAGGTTTGCCTCGGACCAGCCCCAGTTACGCTGCTATAGACCCAGACTACTGGAGGATTTCCTCGGATACACTAAGCTCCTCTCTCCTCTTCTCTCTCTCCTTCTGTATGAATTCATATCTCATTAATGCACATTAATAACTTTGGTTCTTCCCCTTGTGATTTTGGGCTTTACAAAATAAACTCAATTGAAAATGAATTGTTAATGTATGACTTCACCCTCACTCACTGACATGATCTTGATCTAAATGATTTATGATCAATCAATGTGTCACAAACTTGTTGGTTATTGTTCAAACATCATAACGTTCCTGGCAGTTTACTGATGTCACTTAGAGTCGGAGATCATCTAAAGCCTGACTGATGACCTGGAAGCTGCGGAGCAAGAGCTCGCCGTGCTGTTAGGACCACCAGTATGTAAACCAGTTAGAAGTGTAAGCTTCAAGTTGTCTTTGGTTCTAGTTCTGGTCCTGGTCCTGCATGGTGTCTGTTTGTCTGTTAGTGGTTTGGTTAAGGGGAGAGTTAGTTGGCTTTGGGTACGGACCTTCACATACCTGGGAAGGCTACCGAGGCCACGGCAGCGGCAGCAGCACAGCCGACGTCGGCGGCGCCCTCCGTCTGCAAGCCAAGCGTCTGCAGAGTGTGCTCGGCTGCATGCACTTTAGCTTCTTCTACGGCTGCACACAGCTTAGCAGGCGTGAAGGGATGTCTGCAGAGAGACACAATCAATGTGAGATGAAGCTGGATGATCCTTTTGTGTTTGTTTATATCAGTGTATCATGGGAAAGTCACTGTGAACTGAAGCTTGTTCTACGGTTCTGCATCAAAGAAAAACACCTCATATGTGCGAAACAACTTTCAAAACTCTAAAAGGAACAGTGTGTCAGATCTGGTGCCATCTAGTGGTTTAGCTACAGATGACAACCAACTAAATATCCCTCTGATGACTCCTCCTCCTCCAAGAACACAGTGACATGAGACACCCAGGGCATTAGCAGTAGTGTTCTTACACGTTGGGGTACTGGGTAGCCAGAGCTGGGATGGTGATCTTGTAGAGGAAGAGTTGTCTCTGGTCCGGACCGATGGCAGAGTGGAGCTGATAGATGGGCTGACCCCAGTTATTCTTCTGACACAGCTCCTCCAGAACCTGGAGACAGACAGACAGACAGACAGACTGGTGTAAATAATCATGGTGGTACAACACATTCAGGTGTCTTTCAGGTTCATCCTTTAAGAACATAAAGTAGAGACTTCTACAAACACTGACTGAACATGGCCGACCGCCTTCACTGGAACCTTCCAGAGTTTGGATTCACTTCATCACAGTCAACGAAACATAATACCTGCAGCGGGATCTGCTGATGAAGTACCACTACTCCTGACGAAGTACCACTACTCCTGACGAAGTACCACTACTCCTGACGAAGTGCCACTAC